GCCTCTTCACGCACGAGGTCTTTCAGCTGGGACGACCTTAGCGTCCAGGTTTTACAGATTGAAAAAAATACTCAGAAATTTGATTCTCCATGTATAGTCCAGCTAGAGGGCCTTATAAAAAAAAACGGAATCAGATTTGGTAATTTACATTCAAAAACTTAAATTACCAAATCAGTATTTTTCCAGGTGTAAAACCTGGGATACTCATGTGTGCACAACCTAGACCAAAGTGGAAATGATCGTAATCAGTCTGCGTCGGAACTCACACAACCAATCGTTTCTTCACTGTTTACCCAGGTATCGTACAGGTGGTAGAACTTGGGTAAATCATGTGCGCGCTACTTAGGAAAATTCTAGAGTGATGACCGCTGCGTTGTGTCGGCGCTCACGCTCATGGTGGCGTACCACGAATGCACCATTATCGACTTCTGCACCATACAGTTATTGTCCAGGTTTCGAACAAGTACCGACCATGCATTAAAATCGATAGCGTTACCATGCATGTTGCACTGACGGATATACACGGATAACTAGCGCGGCCTCAACTTCATGACTGCGTGCAGCATCTCCCACCTCAGTTTGATAATACCAGCCGGGGACACATCGCTAGGGGCTTTGCTGCTCACGCAAGTCCAGAAAATAAGGCACACAAACGCGCCACAACTGTCACTGTCCGTTTGCATCGGCTCGCTCACTTCCAAAGCTTCGTAGGAATTGTCATGTAGAGGCCGAGCACTGATATCTTCAGCCATCTTCTGCAACCGTTTCTTGTTTCTCTTACCGCCCATGCTGTCGTACATCTTGACAACCTTCGCGTCTCGGTCAACCACAAGACATCCCCAATGTGTGCCACCAAAAATGACAGGAAGTAGCACGAATGGGTGCAAGATTACACATTCAGCAACCTTCCTAAGCGTACTTGCAGGGATACGGCTCTTGGTTTTCCTTGGTTTGGATCCCTTCGTAACCTCTTCGTATTTTTTGCGGGGCGGAATCACGACCGTAACATTGTTCTTGTGCCCCGCGAGACAAACAGCGAAAGCGCGCATAGCATCATCGTTTAACCAAGCCGAAACTCGAAAGCAAAAGAGATTAGAGTACGTCAGGTCGAATCCGAAGCCAACCAGCGGTGTATACGGCCAACACTCCAGTATCTTTCCCAATATAATACCCACTGAAGCGGGATCACTGACAGCGGGTTTTACAGTGCTATTCAGCAATGAACAGCATTGCGACAAGTATCTTATAGTCCCCACAAGGATTTCATAGCTTCCAGTTGCTCTCTGGTGAACTGACCAACTTTTTCAATTGACACCACGTAACTCTCAATGCTACCCGTTCGTTCACCGTCACTGTCTAACTCAATCTCTTCATCTAGTGCCAATCCGCCCTTCAACTTACCCAACGCATCATCAACAAGCGATTCGACTAGTCGGAATCGCACTCGGTCAGGTACGTAATCTCCGTCGACACGCTACTGAATTGACCTTATCTCAACATTCTTCTTGACTGGAAAGGTAGTAAGGGAAGATCCAACATCGCGAACCCCAGGCATGATCATCCAAAGAGTTGACACCACATCGCAGACGTCGGTATCTCTTAAAAGAGCGCGTAGTTTCATCCCGTTATTGTACTCTTTAAGTGCTAACGCCGCCTTCGCTTTCACCGCCGCACGATTCAAATGAGGTCGCCCGGCCCTTCTGACTTACCATTCAGCTTGAGTTTTGTTGGTTGGGCTGCGGTCGTAGACATCTCTGCTGCTCGAGTCGACGGTCCAGCCACCTGAGTCGGCGGGACGTCGTTGGAATCACCATTGGTAGCCGCATTCGCATCGCTAGCCTCAGTATCATGCTGTTTTTTTTAGAAAAAAAACCTGCTCCACTATCACCTGCTCCTCCTTCCGAGTTGTCATCATTATGCCTGTTGTCATCATCACGATTGGGGGCAGATTGCTCAGCCGGGGGTTACCCATTCCTCAGATTGAACCACCACTGACCCAACTGCGACATCGCACTCGCGAAGGCATCGTCTTCGATCCTCGCAAGCTCGCCACTGGTGTGACTAAGTGCCTGCTGAGCACGTCTGTATTTCTCCGCTTCACTCAACCTTCCATCCGCAGCTTGTGAATGGGCTTTGTATATCTTAGCCACAAACGGCGCCGCCACCTCTGTCAACACCTGTTGCGAGAGCCGGCTTTGATCAAACCACCTGTAGCACACATACCTGGTTAATACCTGATGAAAACATGGCCAATATCTAGACATACCTTAGCGCAATTATCGAGAACGGGATAATGAATGGATTCCCACAGCTCTTTCTGTACATCATGGCGTGTCTTCAGGGAAGTTTCATGGTCTGAGCAAACTCACAGTCGCACAGGTAACCCTCTTTCTCGAGAAGATACTCGCGTTCACCACCGCTGACTGTGACAGTAGTACCATTGTCGCTTAACATGTAGTTGTTAACAACGGCAACATCCGTAGCAACGTCGTATTGGGTCTTGATCGCTGCTGCCACCAGGTTCTGGCCAGACTTTTGTGTATGGTTAGGTACATCAATCAGCTTCTCACGAAGGTTGCTATGGACCAGTTTGGCCAAGGCCAGCCCGTCCAGTATTCGTTAATCGAAACGAACGGTGACTGGCATATGGCCAAGTGCTTGGATCATTTCAAGCGTGCGAACGAACACTGGCGGTTCGTCCGTATTGTGATCGTCGACAAGGACATTCGCGAAGTCAAGGTGATTCGCAAGAAGCTTCCCGAAGCTCGCGTGCTGTATGCCACTTTCACGTGATCAAGTGGTTGCATGAGACGATCAGAAAGTCTAAGTCATATGGTGTTTAGAACGAGGATGTTTTAGCGCAGATGAAACACATCACCAACATGACTTACCCCAGGACAGAGGAGGGCTACCACATGCATCGTGGAGAGGTTAAGAGCCTCTCTTGCCAAGATGATCGTACCAAACTGTGGGAGTATTTTGACAAGAACCGGAACGATTGCTGCGAGATGTGGGTGAAGGCGTATCGAGTTGATCTGCCTCACTTTGGCAATCACACCAACAACCGCGTGGAGAGCCTATTTGGTAAACTTAAACGGCAGCTTAAAAGTCACTTTACAATGCAAGCTAGCTTAAAGGTGCTTGTGGACTACCAGCGACGCAAAGAGGAAGAGTATTGGCCTAAGGTCGAGATGCCTGGCACGGGACGTGTGCTACGCAGAAGAAATGAATGTTGCGCTGGGGATGACAACACGTTGGGTCCCCCACGTATTTGGTCATAACTTGGAATCTGGTGATTGTAGTATGGAGGCACGAGTATGGAGGCGCGAGAACAGATATTGAACAAGAGGAGCACGAATCTGCGCGTCCTAGCCAGCATACTCTCCGTTCGAAAGGAAGAAATTTAACGACAACAAGCTCTGCTTCTTAAACAGTTTCAACACCACGAGAAACAACGAGCATATGTGAACACACACACTGAGCTCCTATCAACGTTGAAAACAGCACAGTACAAGCGGACATCCTAGCCGAGCAGGTGCAACAAAAGAGATCGATCGTATTTCGTCCGGAGGAGGTACCATTTAAAGATAGAGCCTATGAATTTTTAAGCCATTTTTCAATTGTTGATTTTAAATTTAATTTACGGCACTCCTCTCGTCCAGGTTTTATCAATCAGGTATTGTCCAGGTAGAGTTTTATCGGTTTAAATTACTTTCATTTCTTCTTTTGATTCCTAGCCATCAGTTGGGGACACGTGGCAGCACCTCCCCCTCCGCTCCACACGCACCGAGGATGCCCGCACACACAAGACCGCCAAGACCAAGGCAAAGATGGTAGAGCAAGAGCATGTGGCCGAGGAAGCACGTCAGGGCAACCTCGCTCTTTTGCACGCTGCACGTACGCGCTCAGAGCGAGCAAACGCCAGAGAAATGATGGAGACATTCCCGCGCGGGTTTGACTGAAGTAGCAGAGGACAGCGATGCCCATGAACGTGCGGAGGATGCAACAGAGGGCGCCTCAGATGAAGGAGAGGATGCTGGGGAAGCGCAAAAATGTCTGGACACGTCGAGTGAAGCAAAGAAGACAACGGATGATGAAGAGGACGCTTCGGGTGAAGATGAAGAGGATGAAGAGGCTGGAGAAGAGAAGGGAGATGATGGCGAGGAGGAGCAGGTCGCATCGGACGAAGAGGGAGAGGATGAAGCGGAAGAAGGCGGTGTGGAGAAGGAGACAACGAGAAAGCGCCGTCAAGGAAAGAAAAGAACCGTATCCGATGTCGAAGAAGAAGATCTGGTTCAGGTTCCTGCGTTTAAGGCTCAGCATGATTTATGGGCCTCGCTGGGACAGCCTCTCAAGGAATACATGGAGGCGACGCGCCAAAAAAATCGTGGTGAAAGAGGTGATCAATGTAGCCCACAGGAATGCTGTTCTTCGGCGCCAAGTGAGGTACCAAGGGCTTCCTGACTCCGAGTTGCCTCTCGTCCCTGCAGAGATGGAACCTTATCAGCGCAAGTTTATCTGTACGCATGGGTGGTCCGAACGTGACAGATCAACGGGAAAGCGAACGTCACACAAGTTGAGTGTCCGTTTCAGATGCTGACTCAAGCTAACAAGCGTAGTGACGGTTAATGGGGCGTTGTGATGAAGCGTGAAGTGTACGCCCATAATCATCGGGTCTCCGAAGACATTTACAGGTATTCGCCAGGTTTCAGCGGACTCACTTTTGATGCCAGGTATTGAGCTGCTGGTTGAAGCTGAAGCCGGGACAGCGTGTACAACTACATTCGAGAGAACTCAGACCACCGAATCACAATGGATGATGTCCACAATCGGCTGCGTAAGCAAGGTAAATGGTTGGTTTGATTACATGGCTTCTCTTATTGTTCCCCAATAACTTGATGTATTCGCAGGCGTTGAGTTGTCTCATGACGATGCTGTGGTGAAGCGCCAGTTGGCTTTCGTGAATAAGAAGACTGATTGATGGGAAGCGACCCGATCCAGCCCTGAGACTCATGGTCGACGACGGTGCGTCAGTGATTACGTCATCATCGGTGA